AACATCTTTAAAAAATAGTTTAAAAATATTTTTGCACTAAGTAGATTATAAATTTTTAAAAGCAGATGCTTCTTCTATTCTTCTATATGCCTTTGTTACAGTACCTTGTGTCTTACTATATGTCTTTGAAAGGTACAAATGAGAGAAATCATAATCCTGCTTCATGTTACTAATAACATTTAATAATGACTGTTTCCACTACTGAGAACTCATCATATGCCACACACAAGGCTGAACACTTTAAATGCATTTTTTTAATTATGACAACAATTCTACAAAGTATTCATTATTCTTATCTGGTTTACATAGGTTATAACTGAGGCCTAGAGAATTTAATCATCTCAGAGAAGGTTATTTAATAATGAATTGCTGATGATCACATCAACTTCTGAAATCAGGGATTCCGTGATCTGACTCTGAGCTAAAATCTAGGCAGAAAAAAAATTATTCCTAGTACAATAGAATATTTAGTGTTCTGTGTAACTGAATGTTTTAAGACCTTAACAAACCTATCTGAACAATGTTATGGACTATAATTAAAGATGTATTAGTTGTTGTTGTTGTTGTTTTTTAAGTAGGCTCTGCACCCAGTATGGAGCCTAATGCCAGGCCCAAACTCACAACCTCAAGACCAAGACCTGAGCCAGGATCAAGAGTTGGATGCTTAACTGACTGAACCACCCAGGTGCTCCTAGTCTACTCTATTCTAACAGTATCCAGTAAATAATTATATGTCCCATTGATGGTTATTCTAAATGTCTACCAGGCATTCTGTATACCATAACTCTTTTAATCTCCATGAGAGACCTCAAGTAAGTTTTAGTTTAATGTTAACAGAAACAAGGATGTGTATGAAAAAAATCAATAGCTTTGAAAGAACTGCAAGACTGTCTTTCAAAGTGGTCATAAAATTTCTTATACTCAACAGCAATGAATGACAATTCATGGTTCTCCACATCCTTTTCTGCATTGGGTATTGTCAGTGTTTGGGATTTTCTAATAGGTGTGCAGCAGTATCTCACTGCAGCTTTAATTTACAATTTTGGCTTTATTAGTAATTTCTACCAAACATTTAAGAAAGAATACCAATCCTGGGTGCCTGCGTGGCTCAGCTGGCTAAGCAGCTGCCTTCAGCTCAGGTCATGATCCCGGGGTCCTGGGATCTAGTCCCACATCTGGCTCCTGTGGGATTCTGCTACTCCCTTTCCTTCTGCCTGCTGCTCTGCCAGATTGTGCTCTCACTCTCTGTTAAATAAATAAATAAATCTTGAAGGAAAAAAAAAGAAGGAATACCAATCCTTCTTAAACTCTTCCAAAAAATAGAAGAGGCAAGAAGATTCCCAAACTCATTTGTAAAGAATTTGTTATCCTAATAACAAAGACAAGGACACTACAAGAAAAGAAAATTAAAGGACAGTATCACTGACTAATATAGATGCAAAACTCTTCAATAAAATACTAGAAAACAAAATTCAACAGCACATTAAAAGGATTGTACAACAAGATTAATTTAGTCTTATTCCTAGGATACAAGGATGCTTCTACCTATGCAAATCAGTAAATGTGATACGCCACATTATCAAGATGAAGGATAAAAATCACATAATCTTCTCAACAGATGCAGTAAAAGCATTTGACAAAATTCAACATTCTTTCATGATAAAAGCTCTCAACAAATTAGGTATAGAAGGAATGTACTTCAACAAAATAAAAGCATATGTGACACAGAACATCATACACAGGAAAAGCTGAAATCTTTTCCTCTAACATCAGGAATAAGACAAGGGTGCCTACTTTGACCACTTCTATTCAACATAGTTCTAGAAATTCTAGCCAGAACAGTTAGGCAAGACAGAGGGGAAAAAACAACCAAATCCTAAAAGAAGAAGCAAAATTGTAGCTATTTGCAGATGACATCTTATAGAGGGAAATTCCGAAAGATTCTACAAAAACCTGTCAAAACTAAATAAATGAACTCAGAAAAGTTGCAGGGTACAAAATCAACATACAAAATTCCCTTTGTTTCTATATACTAAAAATAAACTATCTAAAAATGCCTTAAGAACACAACCCCATTTACAGTAGTATCAAAAAGAATAAAATACTTAGGAGTAAATTTAACTGGGAAGTTAAAGATCTGTACTCTGAAAACTATAAAACACTGATGAAACAAATTGAGGAAGACACAAATAAATGGAAATATATTTGGTGTTCATGGATTAGAAGAATTAATGTTGCTATAATGTCCATTTTACCCAAAGCAATCTACAGATTTAGTGCAATCCACAGATTTAGTATATTCCCTGTCAAAATTCCAATGGTGGGGCGCCTGGGGGCCTCAGTCATTAAGCATTAAGTGTCTGCCTTAGGCTTAGGTCATGATCCCAGCATCTGGGGATCCAGCCAGCACCAGGCTGCTCCCTGCTCTGCGGGAAGCCTGCTTTCCCTCTCCTAGTCCCCCTGCTTGTGTCCCCCCTCTCTCTGTGTCTCTCTCTGTCAAATAAATAAAATCTTAAAAAATAAAATAAAATAAAATTCCAATGGCATGTTTCACAGAAATAGAAAAAAAATCCCAAAATTTTTATAGAACCACAGAAGTTCCCAAGTAGCTAAAGCAATGTTGAGCAAGAATAACAAAGCTGGATGCCTCACACTTATTGACTTAAAATTTATCACAAAGCTACAGTTATCAAAACTATATGGTACTAGCATAAAAACGGATACATAGACTAATGAAACAGAATAAAAAGTCCCAAAGTAAATACATACATATATGGTCAACTAATATTTGACAAGGGAGCCAAGAATACTTAACAGGGAAAGGATAGTATTTTCAATAAACGGTGCTGAAAAAACTTAATATCCACATACTAAAGAATGAAATTAGACCCTTACATCATATACAAAAGTAAAGTCAAAATGTTTTCAAAATTTAAATATAAAACCTGAAATCATAAAACTCCTAGCAGAAAACATAGAGGGTAAACTCCTTGACATTGGTCTTGACAATGACTTTTTTTTTTGGATTTGACAACAAAAGCATAAGCAACAAAAGCAAAAATAAACAAGTTAGACTGCATCAAAGTAAAATGTTTCTGAATAGCAAAGGAAAAATTAAAAAATAAAAAGGAACAGGAGAAAATATTTGCTAATCATATCTGATAAGGGGTTAATATCCAAAATGTATAATGAATTCATATAACTCAATGCCAAAAAACATAACCATTTAAAAATGAGCAAAGGACATGAATATACTTTTTTTCAAAGAAGACATACAAATAGACATAGATAAATGAAAAGATACTAATATCAGTAATCTTCAAGGAAATGCAGATGAAAACCACAACGAGATTATCACTTTACACCTGTTGGAAGGGTTATTATCAAAATCTCAGAAAAGGTAAGTATTGGTGAGGAGATGGAAAAAACCTTGTGCATGGCTGGTGGGAATGTAAATTAATTCGGCCATTAAGGAACACAGTATGGAGGTTCCTTGAAAAATTAAAAATAAGACTACTATAAGGTCCATCAATCCCCCTTCTGGGTATAAATCTGAAAGAAATAAAATCACTATCTCAAAGAACTATCTGCACTCCCATCTTTATTGTAGCATTATTCACAGTAGGCAGGGTATGGAAGCAACCTAAGTATTCATCAAGAGATGATGGACAAAAAAATATGTGGATACATGCATAAAATGGAATATTATTCAGTCTTTTAAAAAAGAATATTATTCAGTCTTTAAAAAGAAGGAAATCCTGCACTTGGGACAACATAGATGAACCTGGAGAACATTATGCTAAGTGAAATAGGTCAGACACAGAAAGACAAATATTCCATTTTCTTATTTATATGTGAAATCTAGAAGGGGGATTGCTGATCATATAGTACTCCTATCTTTAATTTTTCAAGGAACTTCCATACTGGGATCAGGCTATCTAGTTCATATCAGCTCTATTATTAACTTCTGGTGGGGCCACGGGAAATTCTGACCATCTCTGTGTATCAGTTCCCTCATTTGAAAAACAAGCTTAGTAATACTTCCAGTTGGTCCTCATCTGTTTTCCTAGAGCCCCCTGCACTTGCTATTTATTTTCTAGGTGAAAGGCATAGATGTTGTTCAGGATTACACTGAAAGAATTAAGAACGTGAACCCAAGGATAAGTGAAATTGTCAAATGCAGATGAGCTCCTTCGCACGTACTAGGAGATGGCTTTCTTGGGTATCCTGTCTCTTCTTTGGCCATTCATCCCCAATCCATCCTAGTACGCAGCTTCTTCCTTTGTATCTTTCCTCTACATTCTCATGATATCCCTAAAAGACAGCTAATTCTTCATGGTAAACCCTTTCATGTAATTTGTCTGTTTGCCTACCACACTAGAACTTGAGATGCTTAAGGAGAAGGATCAAGTTATGCTGGAGTTTTCCCCTCCGGCATCCAGAATGCTTCCTGAAACTTAGCATAGAAGAAAACTAAAACTAAATCTAATGAAAATTTTTAAAACTTAGGAAATTAATGGAAAATGAATTTAGAAATAATATAGATATAACAAATCCAATTATTTTCTGCTGTGTTAAAAACTTCAAGTATGTTCTTGAATTCACTCCCCCCTACACTTGAGAGTGTATTCTTACCCTTTTCTCATAGAAGATTACTGGGACCCAGAGAACTGCAGAATCATGTCCAGGGTCCCAGGGCAGGTATGTGTAACAAAATGAGCAAGGATATAGGCAATCTCCAAGTGTCTATGGACGTTGTAAAAAAAAAAAAAAATCTTAGGCGAAGGTGCTACAGATACACCTTGCCAAGACGTTACCCCAGTTAAGTTATTTTAGGATCGGGGAAGGGTCTTTTGACCTCATTTTCAACAAGTGGTCAACCGTGGTAGTGCAGACAAAGGGGCAGCCCCAAAAGTTCTTAGAACCCGAGCACTCCCTTGTATTACATTCCCCCTCTCCACCCAGCACCGCAGGGTGACAAGTTAGCCAGACTTACACATATGGCGGAGGATGCCACAGTCAGGTTAAGGAAAAGGACTGCCGCCCAACCGCAAAACGGAGTGGCCCAGGGATCCCTGCTCCCGGTTCTCCCTGCCATCCACCTCCACCCTCACCCTTACTACCCCTCACCAGCTCAGCCGCGGGTCCTGGAGTCGGGCGCGCCCCCCCACCCCCCCGCCCCGCATATTAGTCCAAGCCAGGGTCAGGAGCCTGGTGGCGGCAAACAACACTGCAGAAAGAAAGCCAGGAGTCCAGTGAAGCTGGCTACAAAGAACACTGTCGTGTACATGGCTCTAGCGTCCTCGCAGTCCCTCAATGAGATGGACCTGGGCGCGCAGCGGGAGCACTGGGAAACGTACAGGAAGCGGCGGGGCTTCAGCTGCGAAGGCACCGCCAAGTTCCTGCTGGACACCTTCGAGTACCCAGGCCTGGTGTATCACACCGGAGGCTGCCACTGCGGCGCGGTCCGCTTCGCCGTCTGGGCCCCCGCAGAGCTGCGCGTGGTGGATTGCAGCTGCAGGCTGTGCAGGAAGAAGCAGCACCGACACTTCCTCGTCCTGGCCTCGCGCTTCACTCTCCTGCTGGGCGCCGAGAGCATCGTCACCTATCGATCCCACGCGCACCCGGCGCTGCACAGCTTCTGCGGCAGGTGCGGGGTGCAGAGTTTCCACGCCTCTGTCTCTGACCCCAGCGTGTATGGCGTCACCCGGCGCTGCCTGGACAAGGGAACATTTTCCTAGAGGTAAAGCCCACAAACTCGTGAAGGCCCCCTTCACGAGTGTACTGTCCGAGCAGTACACGCTCAGCTTTAAGCAAGTTGACCATTTAAGTGTTCTATGTTTATGGCTCTAGAGGCATGTGCTCCAAGTAAGCAAATCGTGGTTGTTGAATCTGTTTTTCAGGCTGGTGGCTTGCCCTGCAACCTCAATTATCCAGTGGGTTAAAAAAAAAAAAAACAAAACTGATTCAGTTTGTACAGGGTCTTCTTGTTATATGAAAGGGGGTGATGATTTCCAGCCTCTTCACACAATGGCACTGAAAACCCAAAGTCCTCTTTGTGGCCATTTTTGCAGTACGCTAAAACGAGTATAAGGCTCTGAATTAGAAATATCATGGCAGGGGCGCCTGGGTGGTTCAGTGGTTAAGCATCTGCCTTTGGCTCAGGTCGTGATCCGTGGGTCCTGCAATCCATCCCTGAGTCAGGCTCCCTGCTCAGCCGGGAGCCTGCTTCTGCCCCCTCCCCTGCTCCTGCGCAGGGGCGCTCTCTCTCTCTCTCTCTCTCTCAAATAAATGAATAAAATCTTAAAAAAAAAAGAAGAAATATCATGGTAAATTTCAGAAAAACAGAAAAGATGAAAGTCTCAGAGCCAGAGCAGGATTAAGTAGGGTGTGCAGAGTGGGGGTTGGGTGATTGGTTAAGTGGGGATTTCATGAAAGGCTAGTGTTACTACTTAACTTTAAAGATCTTGTGTGTATGTTATTTTGAGAAAACTAAAGACTAGGTGATGCACTTTATATAAAATAGCCTGTAGAAATTATATGTAAGGAAATACATAGAAATGGTAAATTTAATTTCAAGAAGATTAAATAAATGCTTAAACATACATACAATTCCTTAAAGTTATTGCCTCCTTTTTTTTAAGTTTTTGTTTTATTTTCAGTTAGCTAACATACAGTGTTATAGGAGTTTCAGGTGTACATTATAATGATTCAACAATTCCAAACATCACTCTGTGCTCATCACAAGTGTATTCCTTAATCCCCATCACCTAGTTAACTCATCCCCCTACCCACCTCCCCTCTGGTAACCATCAGTTTGTTCTCTAGAGTTAAGAGTCTGCTTCTTGGTTTGCTCCCCTCCACCAGCTTCTTTCCCCTTTGCTTGTTTGTCTTGTTTTGTGTCACAGGGTGAAGAAAGAACATTAAAGCATTAAGAAAATAGAACCAAAGGTCAGTCTTAATGGAGGGTTCAATTTGAAAGGCTGCCAGAATTGTTTGTTTTTGTGGATGGGAAATTAAGGAGATTTTTAAAATTTTTTTAATTAAATTTTTGATTTTTAAAATTCCAATGTAGTTAACACACAGTACTATATTAGTTTCAAATGTAAAATATAGTGATCCAACAGTTCCTACATTACTCAGTGCTTATGAAGACAAGTGCACTCCTTAATCCAAATCACCTATTTAACAACCCCCTCCACTCCTCCTGTCTGGTAACCATCAGTTCTGTATAATTAAGACTCTGTTTCTTGATTTCGCTCCCTCTCTCTCTCTGTTTCTCTTTTATTTTTTCCCTTTGCTTATTTGTTTTATTTCTTACATTCCACATATGAGTGAAATTATATGATATTTGTCCTTCTCTGACTTATTTCGCTAAGCATTATACTCTGTAGCTCCGTCCATAGCATTGCAAATGGCAAGATTTCATTCTTCTTGTAGCTGAAGAATATTCCATTGTATATATATGCCACAACTCCTTTATCCATGGACACATCGGTTGCTTCCATATCTTAGCTATGGTAAAGTAACACTTCTGTAAACATAGGGGTGTATGTGTTCCTTTGAATTAGTGTTTTTGTATTCTTTGGTTGAATACCAGTAGTGCAATTGCTGAATCATAAGGTAGTTCCATTTTTAACTTTCTGAGGAAACTCCATGCTGTTTTCCACAGTGGCTGCACCACTTTGCATTCCCATCAACAGTGCAAGAATATTCCTTCTTCTCCACATCCTTGCCAACACTGGCTGTTTTTTGTGTTGTTGATTTTAGCCATTCTGACAGGTGTGAGGTTGCCTCCCCCTTGTTGATGTTAATTGTAACTATTTGTAAATTACGTGGGTTTTTTTTAAATTTTTTTTTAATTTTCAGCATAACAGTATTCATTGTTTTTGCACCACACCCAGTGTTCCATGCAATCCGTGCTCTCTCTAATACCCACCACCTGGTTCCCCCAACCTCCCAACCCCCGCCCCTTCAAACCCCTCAGATTGTTTTTCAGAGTCCATAGTCTCTCATGGTTCACCTCCCCTTCCAGTTTCCCCCAACTCCCTTCTCCTCTCTAACTCCCCTTGTCCTCCATGCTATTTGTTATGCTCCACAAATAAGTGAAACCATATGATAATTGACTCTCTCTGCTTGACTTATTTCACTCAGCATAATCTCTTCCAGTCCCGTCCATGTTGCTACAAAAGTTGGGTATTCATCCTTTCTGATGGAGGCATAATACTCCATAGTGTATATGGACCACATCTTCCTTATCCATTCGTCCATTGAAGGGCATTTTGGTTCTTTTCACAGTTTGGCGACCGTGGCCACTGCTGCTATAAACATTGGGGTACAGATGGCCCTTCTTTTCACTCCATCTGTGTCTTTGGGGTAAATACCCAGTAGTGCAATTGCAGGGTCATAGGGAAGCTCTATTTTTAATTTCTTGAGGAATCTCTACACTCTTCTCCAAAGTGGCTGCACCAACTTGCATTCCCACCAACAGTGTAAGAGGGTTCCCCTTTCTCCACATCCCCTCCAACACATGTTGTTTCCTGTCTTGCTAATTTTGGCCATTCTAACTGGTGTAAGGTGATATCTCAATGTGGTTTTAATTTGAATCTCCCTGATGGCTAGTGATGATGAACATTTTTTCATGTGTCTGATAGCCATTTGTATGTAAATTACGTGTTTTACTCTTGATCCCAGCAGGTTTGCACATTCCTTAACTTCAGTAGTAATTAGAAAATTACACTTGGCTAAATTTGGAATAAACAACACAAGAGAGGAGATTTTATCCCTATCTCCCAAATAGAGAAAATCACTGCTCAAAAGATGAAGTACTTGTTTAAAGACATACACTAAGTAAGTGGTGGGCCTGGGACAGTTGCCCAAGTCCATCTGAGGTTTCGATCTATGTTATCTGTAGTATCTCTCTCTCCCTTTTCTAGAATGCACGTCTTTTAATACCCAACACTTTATGAGAAAATGATGTGATTCTTTTACTGGGTTTGGGAACCAAAATTACTACTGAATGCAGAAAGAAAGTTGTGCATTCAATAGTAAAATCATACCATTCTTTTAAGGGATCACAAATTCCTAAAACAATAAAAATGTTATTTAGAAGCTAGAAGAAAAGATAGAAATCTTCCAAATTTATTTAATGGAATCTAGCCCCTGATTCTGAAGCCTGGAAGAAATAGTATTCTACACACATAGAGAAATATGGATCTATTTTACTTATTTATAATTTATTTATTTATAGATTAAATTTTTTATCAATAAAGTTTGAATAAAATTCAACAGTGTTTAAAAATCTACCATGCCTTGGTATTTTCCTAGTCATGAGAATATGGTATAATATAAGGAATATTTCAACATTTTAATAATCCACTATATCCATTAATCAAAGCAGAAAAATCATATGTTCATCTTAAGTGCTGAAAAAAGAATTCAATAAATTCAAACTGCAGTTTTTCTTAGTTCTTGTTTAGTTCTTAATCTGTCATCAGATGATGGAATTATGTAAAAATTCTCCACTACTACACATGTATAATTCCTTATCCAAGAGTCTCGGGACTAAATATTTCAGAATTCATATACCATACATTATATAAATCCACAGCAGGGTCTGGAGCAATACTACTAAATCTAATACAACAATATTTCTGCAGTGAAACATATAAATAATCACTCCAAGATATATAAAGATTGCAACTAGCCTTATGTCAGTTTAGGTCAAATTTTATGGGCAAATGAATCAGGAAAATTAAGTTCAGTTTTCAAAGCATTTCAACTTTAAAATTGCCTATATGGGATTATGAGTCTAAAGCATATGTCAGTTCTTCTTGCCTTTTATAAGTTTTTTTTTTATGTTGGCTTTTATTTGTTATTGAAGTAGAACATATAAAAAGAAGAGTGCATAAATTAAGAGGCAACAACTTGATGACATTTTACAAAGTGAAAACATGGGGATGCATGCACCCTGATATTTATAGTAGCATTATGAACAATAACCAAACTATGGAGATAGCCCAAATGTCCATCAACTGATGAATGGATAAAGAAGATGTGGTACATATATACAATAGAATATTACTCAGCCATCAAAAAAGATGAAATCTTGCATTTGCAATGACGTGGATGGAGCTAGAATGTTTTATGTTAGGTGAAATGAGTCAGTCAGAGAAAGACAAATACTATATGATCTCACTCATATGTGGAATTTAAGAAAGAATACAGTTGAATGTATGAGAAGAGGGAAATGGAAAAAAGGGAGAGAGGGAAACAAAGCATAAGAGACTCTTAATGACAGAGAACAAACTTGAGGGTTGATGAAGGGAAGTGGGTGGAGATGGACTAGTTGGGTGATGGGTATTAAGGAGGGCACTTGTTCAAATGAGCATTAGCTGTTGTACATAAATGACGAATCACTGAATTCTACCCCAGAAACCAATATTGCATTTTATGTTAACTACCTATTATTATTAAAAAACAATGTAAAGACATGAATCAAGAGTAAGAAACCTATACTAAGCCCCAGAAACCTATATTATTCCCCCATCTAGTCATTACATTTGACTTAACCACTATTCTGACCTATGTCACTATATATTCATTTTGCCTGTTTTTTAAACTTTATACAAACGGAATTATCTTGTACCTTTTTTATGATTGGTTTGCTTCACTTAATACTCTGATTTGGGGCTCTGTTTATATATATTTGCTGTATATGGGGTTATTTGCTTGTTTCATG